AGCAAGCCAAGGAGACCACTGGAGTACAAGTTCCAGGTGTCCAAACAAGGATAACTTTATGTAAATCCATTAATTGATGATGAATGCTCTTATTTGGAATATTAGATCAGTAAATACAATGCAAGCTTTTGAAAGAGTTATTACAATGGATAGAAAATTTCAATTTGATTTTATTGCCCTAATGGAACCAAAGAAGCAGATTAGGACTGTTGACCAATACAGAAGGAGGCTTGGTTTTGAACAAGTAGTGGTAAATGTCTCAAATAAAATATGGCTCTTTATAGACCAAAAGTATGACTTTGACATCTTATTTAACATGGAGCAGCAGATCACCTTGAAGATGCTTGATATTGACAGTAAGAAGGAGATCATAATTACCATGGTGTATGCTAAATGTAATGCAATCGAAAGAATTGAACTGTGGGATACATTGTATTCATTGGCTAGTGATATGTCCCTATCATGGCTAGTTGGTGGTGATTTTAATGTGATATGGGATGAAGAGGAGAAATTTGGTGGATTTCCAGTTCATATAAATGAGATAGATGATTTTAGACATTGTATAACTACATGTAACCTTTTTGATCTTGGCTTCAAAGGCAGTATTTTCACCTGGTGGAATGGGAGAGCTGAGGAAGAATGCATATTTAAACGACTTGACAGATGTTTGGGAAATATGGAACTACAAGAATTATGGCCAGGTCTGGAGATTGAGCACCTACCAAAGATTGGGTCAGACCATTGTCCCTTATAGCTTTCTTGCAATCTTAACAGTAGACCAATCAAGAAAGCTTTTAGATTCATGAATTTCTAGATAAAACATGAGGCATTTCTTGATGTGGTAAAAGAAAACTGGCAAGCTGATTTTCATGCGAGTCCATTCATCTTGTTTAACTATAAGATGAAAAAGCTGGAGCAAGCCTTATCTACTTGGAGTAAAGCTACTTTTGGAGACATATTTAAGCAGATTGCTAGTTTGGAGGAAGTAGTTAAGGTGCATGAAACTCAATTTGAGCTGAATCCTACCATTCAAAATCGTGAAAGACTTCATAGGGTGAAAGCTGATCTAATTAGAGTATTGGCTCTAGAAGAAGAATTCTGGAAACAAAAGGCAAGCTTGAACTGGTTTAAGGATGGTGACAGAAATTCAAAATTGTTTCATGCTCATGTGAAAGGCAAAAGAAAAAGGTTGCAGCTCAAGAGAATACAAGATAGATATGGTGTATGGATAGAGGATGAAGAAAAGATAGCAGAAGAGGCTGTGCATTTTTTTCAACAACAGTTTCATGAGGACAGTGTTCCTACAGACTTTAGAATTTTGGATCATGCCTATAATGATATGTGAGGAGCGGAACTGCGAACTAACTAGACAACCAACATTAGATGAAGTCAAGAAAGCAGTTCTTGAATTGAATGGGGATAGTACATGTGGTCCTGATGGATTCAATGGGAATTTTTTCCATGCTTGCTGGGAGATCATAGGTGAAGATATATTGGAGATGGTGAGGTCATTTTTTAGTGGGCAAGAACTCCCTAAATTTGTGACTCACACAAATTTAGTTTTGTTACCAAAAAAGAAGGAAGTGCAGACCTTTCCTGATTTGAGGTCAATCAGCCTAAGCAATTTCTCTAACAAAATTATCTCGAGGGTCATACATGAGAGGCTAGTTGATATTCTTCCTACTGTGATCTCAGATGAGCAGGCTGGATTTGTTAAAGGAAGAAGTATTATTGAGAATGTACTGCTTACTCATGAGATAATTACTGACATTAGGTTGAGAACTAAAGCAGGTCCAAATGTTGTTCTAAAGCTGGACATGATGAAGGCATATGACAGACTTTCTTGGCTTTTTCGCACAAAAGTGTTAAGGAAGATGGGCTTCTCTGAGAGATTTATTGGCATGATCTTTGGTATTGTATCTAATAACTGGTACTCAATTCTTGTTAATGGGCAGCCACATGGCTTTTTCAAGTCTTATAGAGGAGTGAAGCAAGGTGATCCATTATCACCTACTTTGTTCATATTGGCTGCAGAGGCAATGTCAAGGGGTCTTAATGCATTACTTAGAAATCTATATTTTTGTGGCTTTGGTATGCCCAAATGGAGTCCTAAAATAAACCATCTTGCTTATGCTGATGACACAATTATATTCACATCATCAGATGCCACTTCCTTAAGGTTGATCATGGATGTATTGAATTCATATGAAGCAGCTTCAGGTCAGTTGATCAACAAGTCTAAATCTGCTATTTATGTACATCATTCTACAAGTGAAGAGGTGGTGAACAAGATTGACGGAATTACTGGGATAGGGAGAAAGGAATTTCCATTCACTTATCTTGGTTGTCCTATCTTTATTCAAGGAGAAGGATGGATTATTATGAGGATTTAATTACTAAGGTAATGGATAAGTTGCAGACTTGGAAAGGGAAGCTATTATCAGTAGGTTGAAGGGCAGTACTAATTAATAGTGTGCTGCAAAGCATGCCTATTCATCTCCTATCTGCAGTGAATCCACCTGCTTATGTGATCAATAGGTTACACAAGATATTTGCTAGGTTCTTTTGGAGCAGTTCTATGGAGGGCAAGGCTAGACACTGAGCTTCTTGGGACAATCTTTGCCTACCTAAAGAGAAAAGAGGGGTAGGATTTAGATCATTGCATGATATGTCCAAGGCCCTATTCTGCAAGTTATGGTGGAATTTTAGGACCAAACCATCATTGTGGAGTTCCTTCATGTGTCAAAAATACTGCAAAAAGATGAATGCAATTATTGTTCCTTGGAGATATGGCTCTCATGTGTGGAGGAAGATATTGGAATGCAGAGATATTGTGGAGCATCAAATTTATTGGAAAATTCAAATGGGATCTTCTCTTTTCTGGTTTGACAATTGGACAGGATTAGGAGCACTTTATTTTGTGACACCTCCAGAATTCATAGTTGATGAATCAATTCAAAATGTGAATCAAGTGATGATTGAAGGACAGTGGGATGTGGAGAAGCTTAGGGAACTGTTACCAGATGATTTAGCTATACATATCATAAATAACATACCGTGCCCTGCATATTCAGATGAACTGGACAAACCTATTTGGAGTCTAGACACTAGAGGGCAATTCTCAGTTAAAACTGCTTGGCAATACCTGAGAAAAAGGAAAGATCCTGCTCTTGCATTCTCTAGTATATGGATTGCTGGACTGCCATTTAAAATTTCCTTTTTCATGTGGAAGCTGTGGAGAGGTAAACTACCTCTGGATTCTACTCTAAGAAGAATGAGATATTTTATGCCTTCCAAATGCTGGTTTTGTATCAGGCCAAATGAAGAAACAATTAGCCATGTTTTTTCCAGATCTTACATAGCTACAAAGGTGTGGTCATATTTTTTCAATCATGCTGGAATATATCTTGAAGGTTTGAGTTTGCATCAAGCTATAGTCAAGTGTTGGACCTTAAAGGTGATAACTAGGTTGAAGCCAATTTTTTTAGCCTTACCTTGTATCATTGTATGGGAGCTGTGGAAAAGGAGAAACAGTAATAAACATGGTGAACCTGTGTCTACTAATAGGGTGGTTTTTCAAGTCTGCACAACTATTCAGGCACTTATCAAAGTGAGAAAGCCTGGGATCTCTTATGTGCCATATAGATGGCCTGACATTTTGCAGATGATGGAGAATTATATCCCTAAGCTGAAGATTAACAAGGTACTATGGGAATTTCCAATGCAAGGTTGGATAAAAATAAACACTGATGGGGCATCTAGGGGTAATCCGGGAAGAAGTTCCATAGGGTTTTGCTTGAGGAATGAACATGGTGATTTATTATATGCATGTGGTAAAGAGATTCAGGAAGTGACTAATACACAGGCAGAAGCTAAGGTTATGTTGGAGGCATTGAAACATACTATGGCTACTGGTATTGATAATATATGGGTACAAACAGATTCAATGCTTCTGAAAAAGGTGATTGAAGGGGAATGGAAGCCTCCTTGGATTATTGAAGAAGAGGTGAAGGAGATAAGGCAGATGCTACATGTACTCAATGGCAGATTATCACATATATTCAGAGAGGGGAACAAGCTAGCGGATAGCTTAGCCAATTATGCTTTGGATCAAGGGTCAATTGAATGTTTCTCCTTTCATCACTTGGACACACAAGGTAGAAGGCTAGTAAATGGGGATAAACTGCAATGTCCATACTTGAGGGTGAAGGTAGCCAAGAACTAAAGACCATGGTGACAAGGAGAAGAGCAATAGTGGTCTGCAGGAGTTATCATCATCATGTACAAATCCATAGGGAGGAGTACGTGGTGATCATGTTTTTATCTAACAATGTTTTCTTTTTTGCAGGTTTGGTGTCAGCAGCTATGTCTTGTTCTTTGATGGAGATTCAACTGGTGGTATTAGTGCTTTGCACTCAACCCACTGAAAGGAAATCAAAAACAAACATAGCTGCAGGTTCTAATATGGGCACTTTGTTGTGTAAAAGCAGGGCTGCCTAGCAAAGTCAAGCAGCTATGTTGGATGTTTATTTGCCCAGAATGTTAAATCGAATTGGGCAAAGGGTATTAGGTGATGCAGCAGCCTTAAAGAAGGTGATACTAGTTGTAGGAGTTCAGGAAAATATGGGGGTAAGCTTGTATGACAGGAGCAATAAGGAAATATATGGCAGGAATCAATATCAATGTGGTGCATGGGTTCATAACTCCTATGTATGCAGGTGTAGAGAGTTGTTAAATCAAATGTGGTGCAGGAGACTAAAACACTTGATCAAGAGGGATAAAGAAATATGGAGCAAGGTGGATTACTTACAATGGAGTCTAGGATGGGTCATAAGAAATGATATGAAAGGAGGTGCTGCAGTTCAGTGGTCTGATATGGGATGGTATGAAGGGTATGATATAGAGAGTGTAGGTATACCAGCTTTTGTTAGGAATTGGTTCAAATTAGGTAGGGATAGGTCAAGGGCTAGGTGTTGTAGGTTGGAGGTTTTCTCAACAGTTCATGTTGTACAAGGACTTTGGGAGGAGTACAATGTGAACACTTTTTACACTAACCTAATTTTCTTTTTTGCAGGGAAAGATACTAACTTCATGCATTGTCACATATTCCAACCTTCCATTGATACAACCTTTGTGACATGAAAGAGCATGATAGCATGGTTCTGGGCAACAACATGGTACAGGTTGAAAGGAATGGATTCTGAAGTGAGCTGGTGGAAAGCTAAGGAAACTGTAGCTTTTTTCTCTGAAGGTAACATGTTCATACTTACCTTGCTTTGGCCCAACCTCTTAGTGGTGGTATTAGTACCCGGTACTCATTCCAGTGGAGGGCAAGCTGGAGAGGGTAGGATTATGAAAATGGACTTTCTATGAACTGGACAAATCCATACAGTGTATAGACATGAACAGTCGAGGCAGCAAGTTTCAAAAGGAATCAAGGAAAGTACGCATCATCACATTAGGAGCAGGATACCACAGCTTGATAGTATCATATCCAAGGAACACAAGAAGGCAAAAATTTCACAGAATCAATGGGGGATCATATATGAATTATGGACAAAAAATGGTAACATCATCACTGAAGTTTGGAATTGGACAGTAAATACAGCAGGAACTATTAGTACTCTCATGATCTCTTCTTGGCCTAACTTCCATGTGGTGGTATCAGTACTTTGTACTCATTCCATGGGAAGGCAAGCTAGGAAGGGCACAAGCATGAGAATGGATTCATCGAGCCATGGACAAAGTCATATGTGGCCAATAACATATGTGTTGAGGCAGCTGTTATCACAGGAACTCTGCAAAGCCAAATGCTGTATAAAAACATGCATTAAAAATTGCACAAGTACTACGACATGCACGAAACACAAGCAGGAAGATAGTCCACAAGATCAGTCATGCAATACAATCGAGCAAAAATACGGGAACATCACAGCAAATAGGAATTGGGCAGTGTTTGCAACAAATAGCCACTGTATGAAGTTTGAAGATGGAGGCAGATCAGTTGAGCATGCAGAGTCAATACATGAACTCATGAATGAATCCAACACAGTTGAGAATCACCAAAGACTGTACAGGAGTTACAAGAAGGAGCTCGACAAGGCAGTAAATGACTATGATTGTAATAGGCTAGTTTCTATACACTGTTTAGTTTTGCCTTTTCATACTAGTTCATTAAGTAATGTCAATTTTGGGTATCTTATGCCTAAAGTTGATCATAGGTGTTATATGTTTAGCTTAGTCTACTTTCTTACATCTAGTAAGACAACATGCTACTTTATTTATTTTTTAAATATTTATAAAAACTAGCCCTAGGCATACTGCCTAGTGGATTATAAAAAAAAA